GCAGCCGCACCATCCACACAGAGGAATGGGGGACCCCCACAAATACCTGCAGCCGCACCACCCACACAGAGGAATGCGGGGACCCCCACAAATACCTGCAGCCGCACCACCCACACAGAGGAATGCGGGACCCCCACAAATACCTGCAGCCGCACCATCCACACAGAGAACTGAGGGACCCCCACAAATACCTGCAGCCGCACCATCCACACAGAGGAATGGGGGACCCCCACAAATACCTGCAGCCGCACCACCCACACAGAGGAATGCGGGACCCCCACAAATACCTGCAGCCGCACCACCCACACAGAGGAATGCGGGACCCCCCACAAATACCTGCAGCCGCACCACCCACACAGAGGAATGCGGGACCCCCACAAATACCTGCAGCCACACCACCCACACAGAGGAATACGTGACCCCCACAAATACCTGCAGCCGCACCACCCACACAGAGGAATGCGGGACCCCCACAAATACCTGCAGCCGCACCACCCACAGAGAGGAATGGGGGACCCCCACAAATACCTGCAGCCGCACCCCACACAGAGGAATAGGGGACCCACACAAATACCTGCAGCCGCACCACCCCACACAGAGGAATGGGGGACCCCCCACAAATACCTGCAGCCGCACCATCCACACAGAGAAATGAGGGACCCCCACAAATACCTGCAGCCGCACCACCTACACAGAGGAATGTGGGACCAGCAAAATACCTGCAGCCGCACCCCACACAGAGGAATGCGGGACCCCCACAAATACCTGCAGCCGCACCACCCACACAGAGGAATACGGGACCCCCACAAATACCTGCAGCCGCACCATCCACACAGAGAAATGGGGACCCCCACAAATACCTGCAGCCGCACCACCCACACAGAGGAATGCGGGGACCCCCACAAATACCTGCAGCCGCACCACCCACACCCACACAGAGGAATACGGGACCCCCACAAATACCTGCAGCCGCACCACCCACACAGAGGAATGCGGGACCCCACAAATACCTGCAGCCGCACCACCCACAGAGAGGAATGGGGGACCCCCACAAATACCTGCAGCTGCACCATCCACACAGAGAAATGGGGGACCCCCACAAATACCTGCAGCCGCACCCCACACAGAGGAATACGGGACCCCCACAAATACCTGCAGCCGCACCACCCACACAGAGGAATGCGGGACCCACACAAATACCTGCAGCCGCACCACCCACACAGAGGAATGCGGGACCCCCACAAATACCTGCAGCCGCACCATCCACACAGAGAAATGGGGGACCCCCACAAATACCTGCAGCCGCACCCCACACAGAGGAATACGGGGACCCCCCACAAATACCTGCAGCCGCACCACCCACACACAGAGGAATGCGGGACCCACACAAATACCTGCAGCCGCACCACCACCCACACAGAGGAATGGGGGACCCCCACAAATACCTGCAGCCGCACCACCCACAGAGAGGAATGGGGGACCCGCACAAATACCTGCAGCCGCACCACCCACACAGAGAGAATGGGGGACCCCCACAAATACCTGCAGCCGCACCATCCACACAGAGAAATGAGGGACCCCCACAAATACCTGCAGCCGCACCATCCACACAGAGGAATGCGGGACCCCCACAAAATACCTGCAGCCGCACCACCCACACAGAGGAATACGGGACCCCCACAAATACCTGCAGCCGCACCATCCACACAGAGAAATGGGGGGGACCCCCACAAATACCTGCAGCCGCACCACCCACACAGAGGAATGCGGGACCCCCACAAATACCTGCAGCCGCACCACCCACACAGAGGAATACGGGACCCCCACAAATACCTGCAGCCGCACCACCCACACAGAGGAATGCGGGACCCCCCACAAATACCTGCAGCCGCACCACCCACAGAGAGGAATGGGGGACCCCCACAAATACCTGCAGCTGCACCATCCACACAGAGAAATGGGGGACCCCCACAAATACCTGCAGCCGCACCCCACACAGAGGAATACGGGACCCCCACAAATACCTGCAGCCGCACCACCCACACAGAGGAATGCGGGACCCACACAAATACCTGCAGCCGCACCACCCACACAGAGGAATGCGGGACCCCCACAAATACCTGCAGCCGCACCATCCACACAGAGAAATGGGGGACCCCCACAAATACCTGCAGCCGCACCCCCACACAGAGGAATACGGGACCCCCACAAAATACCTGCAGCCGCACCACCCACACAGAGGAATGCGGGACCCACACAAATACCTGCAGCCGCACCACCCACACAGAGGAATGGGGGACCCCCACAAATACCTGCAGCCGCACCACCCACAGAGAGGAATGGGGGACCCGCACAAATGCCTGCAGCCGCTCCACTCACAGAGAGGAATGGGGGGACCCCCACAAATACCTGCAGCCCGCACCACCCACACAGAGGAATGCGGGACCCACACAAATACCTGCAGCCGCACCACCCACACAGAGGAATGCGGGACCCACACAAATACCTGCAGCCGCACCACCCACACAGAGGGATGGGGGACCCCCACAAATACCTGCAGCCGCACCACCCACACAGAGGAATGCGGGACCCACACAAATACCTGCAGCCGCACCACCCACACACAGGAATGCGGGACCCACACAAATACCTGCAGCCGCACCACCCACACAGAGGAATGGTGGACCCCCACAAATACCTGCAGCCGCACCACCCACACAGAGGAATGCGGGACCCACACAAATACCTGCAGCCGCACCACCCACACAGAGGAATGCGGGACCCCTACAAATACCTGCAGCCGCACCACCCCCACACAGAGGAATGCGGGACCCCCACAAATACCTGCAGCCGCACCACCCACACAGAGGAATACGGGACCCCCACAAATACCTGCAGCCACACCACCCACACAGAGGAATGCGGGACCCCCACAAATACCTGCAGCCGCACCACCCACAGAGAGGAATGGGGGACCCACACAAATACCTGCAGCCGCACCACCCACAGAGAGGAATGCGGGACCCACACAAATACCTGCAGCCGCATCACCCACACAGAGGAATGGTGGACCCACACAGATACCTGCAGCCGCACCACCCACACAGAGGAATGCGGGACCCCCACAAATACCTGCAGCCGCATCACCCCACACAGAGGAATGGGGGACCCACACAAATACCTGCAGCCGCACCACCCACACAGAGGAATGCGGGACCCACACAGATACCTGCAGCCGCACCATCCACACAGAGAAAATGGGGGACCCCCACAAATACCTGCAGCCGCACCACCACCACACAGAGGAATGTGGGACCAGCAAATACCTGCAGCCGCACCCCACACAGAGGAATACGGGACCCCCACAAATACCTGCAGCCGCACCACCCACACAGAGGAATGCGGGACCCCCACAAATACCTGCAGCCGCACCACCCCCACAGAGAGGAATGGGGGACCCCCCACAAATACCTGCAGCCACACCACCCACACAGAGGAATACGGGACCCCCACAAATACCTGCAGCCGCACCACCCACACAGAGGAATGCAGGACCCGCACAGATACCTGCAGCCGCACCACCCACACAGAGGAATAGGGGACCCGCACACATGCCTGCAGCCCGCACCACCACCCACACAGAGGAATGCGGGACCCCCACAAATACCTGCAGCCGCACCACCCACACAGAGGAATGGGGGACCCTCACAGATACCTGCAGCCGCACCACCCCCACACAGAGGAATGCGGGACCCCCACAAATACCTGCAGATGCACCACCCACACAGAGGAATGCAGGACCCCCACAAATACCTGCAGCCGCACCACCCACACAGAGGAATGCGGGACCCCCACAAATACCTGCAGCCGCACCATCCACACAGAGAAATGGGGGACCCCCACAAATACCTGCAGCCGCACCCCACACAGAGGAATACGGGACCCCCCACAAATACCTGCAGCCGCACCACCCACCCACACACAGAGGAATGCGGGACCCACACAAATACCTGCAGCCGCACCCACCCACACAGAGGAATGGGGGACCCCCACAAATACCTGCAGCCGCACCACCCACAGAGAGGAATGGGGGACCCGCACAAATACTGCAGCCGCACCACCCACACACAGAAATGGGGGACCCCCACAAATACCTGCAGCCGCACCATCCACACAGAGAAATGAGGGACCCCCACAAATACCTGCAGCCGCACCATCCACACAGAGGAATGCGGGGACCCCCACAAATACCTGCAGCCGCACCACCCACACAGAGGAATACGGGACCCCCACAAATACCTGCAGCCGCACCATCCACACAGAGAAATGGGGGACCCCCACAAATACCTGCAGCCGCACCACCCACACACAGAGGAATGCGGGACCCCCACAAAAATACCTGCAGCCGCACCACCCACACAGAGGAATACGGGACCCCCACAAATACCTGCAGCCGCACCACCCACACAGAGGAATGCGGGACCCCCACAAATACCTGCAGCCGCACCACCCACAGAGAGGAATGGGGGACCCCCACAAATACCTGCAGCTGCACCATCCACACAGAGAAATGGGGGACCCCCACAAATACCTGCAGCCGCACCCCACACAGAGGAATACGGGACCCCCACAAATACCTGCAGCCGCACCACCCACACAGAGGAATGCGGGACCCACACAAATACCTGCAGCCGCACCACCCACACAGAGGAATGCGGGGACCCCCACAAATACCTGCAGCCGCACCATCCACACAGAGAAATGGGGGACCCCCACAAATACCTGCAGCCGCACCCCCACACAGAGGAATACGGGACCCCCACAAATACCTGCAGCCGCACCACCCACACAGAGGAATGCGGGACCCACACAAATACCTGCAGCCGCACCACCCACACAGAGGAATGGGGGACCCCCACAAATACCTGCAGCCGCACCACCCACAGAGAGGAATGGGGGACCCGCACAAATGCCTGCAGCCGCTCCACTCACAGAGAGGAATGGGGGACCCCCACAAATACCTGCAGCCGCACCACCCACACAGAGGAATGCGGGACCCACACAAATACCTGCAGCCGCACCACCCACACAGAGGAATGCGGGACCCACACAAATACCTGCAGCCGCACCACCCACACAGAGGAATGGGGGACCCCCACAAATACCTGCAGCCGCACCACCCACACAGAGGAATGCGGGACCCACACAAATACCTGCAGCCGCACCACCCACACAGAGGAATGCGGGACCCACACAAATACCTGCAGCCGCACCACCCACACAGAGGAATGGTGGACCCCCACAAAATACCTGCAGCCGCACCACCCACACAGAGGGGAATGCGGGACCCACACAAATACCTGCAGCCGCACCACCCACACAGAGGAATGCGGGACCCCTACAAATACCTGCAGCCGCACCACCCACACAGAGGAATGCGGGACCCCCACAAATACCTGCAGCCGCACCACCCACACAGAGGAATACGGGACCCCCACAAATACCTGCAGCCACACCACCCACACAGAGGAATGCGGGACCCCCACAAATACCTGCAGCCGCACCACCCACAGAGAGGAATGGGGGACCCACACAAATACCTGCAGCCGCACCACCCACAGAGAGGAATGCGGGACCCCACACAAATACCTGCAGCCGCATCACCCACACAGAGGAATGGTGGACCCACACAGATACCTGCAGCCGCACCACCCACACAGAGGAATGCGGGACCCCCAACAAATACCTGCAGCCGCATCACCCACACAGAGGAATGGGGGACCCACACAAATACCTGCAGCCGCACCACCCACACAGAGGAATGCGGGACCCACACAGATACCTGCAGCGCACCATCCACACAGAGAAATGGGGGACCCCCACAAATACCTGCAGCCGCACCACCCACACAGAGGAATGTGGGACCAGCAAATACCTGCAGCCGCACCCCACACAGAGGAATACGGGACCCCCACAAATACCTGCAGCCGCACCACCCACACAGAGGAATGCGGGACCCCCACAAATACCTGCAGCCGCACCACCCACAGAGAGGAATGGGGGACCCCCACAAATACCTGCAGCCACACCACCCACACAGAGGAATACGGGACCCCCACAAATACCTGCAGCCGCACCACCCACACAGAGGAATGCAGGACCCGCACAGATACCTGCAGCCGCACCACCCACACAGAGGAATAGGGGACCCGCACACATGCCTGCAGCCGCACCACCCCACACAGAGGAATGCGGGACCCCCACAAATACCTGCAGCCGCACCACCCACACAGAGGAATGGGGGACCCTCACAGATACCTGCAGCCGCACCACCCACACAGAGGAATGCGGGACCCCCACAAATACCTGCAGATGCACCACCCACACAGAGGAATGCAGGACCCCCACAAATACCTGCAGCCGCACCACCCACAGAGAGGAATGGGGGACCCCCACAAATACCTGCAGCCGCACCACCCTCACAGAGGCGTAAGGCCTGATTTCGCATTCCAGTGTGGTGCAATTTTTCATCCGAATCCCCTGCATACACTACTTTTAAAAACTGTATTGCACCAAATCGAATGTTACAGCGGTACCATGTGATTTGGTGGCCACAATTGCACTTCATTTTCGATCTGCGTTTGGGGTGCCAATAACAATGCATTGGCAGCTGCAGCAGATTGCAAAGGCAGTGCGTTTCCAGGAAAGACGCCCAGAACGAACTTTTCCCGCACCGCGTTATGGTGTGAACTTTCCCTTATTGAGCACCCTAGATCTTTTCACGAATCACCTCACTTCTCAGTGGTGTGTACTGTATATTAGTGGGAGCTTAGAGCCGGCTCACACTATAGAAACGCAGTCCAGATGCGTTCTGGATGCGTTTCCACATGCGCATATTTTATGCATTCTGGTGCATTTTTTTTTTTTTTGCATTCCAGTTCATTTTCTCCCTCTCTTTTTTCTTCAATTTAAATGAGGACATGTGCGTTCCAGTACATTTGTGATGTGTTTTGGTGCGTTCCAGTGCATTCCCGTGTGTTTTTGGCGCGTTCCAGTGCGTTCCGATTTGTTTTTGATGCGTTTTACCACGTTCCAGTGCAGTTCTGTGCAGAAAAAATGCAGCCTGTTCTACTTTTTTTCCTGCAACCGGAACGCATCGGAACTGCAAGCACTGATGTGAACTATGCCACTGACCACCATATCACCTACTTTCTGTGCGTATTGAATGCAGAAAAAAAAAAAAGCAACTGAAACGCATGGTGTGTAAAGTGGTAGTAAAGGCTTTTATTTAGCTAATAAATTGTAAAATGTATGTTAAATGTTTTTATGAATTCACAAAAAAAAAAAAAAAAAAAAAAAAAAAAAAAAAAAAAAAAGTACTTGTTCTAATTCCACTTTATATGTATATATTGTTTCAGTAGTTTTATATTGAGATTCAAGGTCCTGATGAAGCGGGCTTTCCCGCGAAACGTGTTGACCATTTACAAATCGACCTCAAGAATACATTGTGGATGCACACAATGTTCATGTGGTTTTAAACTCTTTTAATGGATTTGTTTGTAACATTTCCTATTTATGTATCTTGTGTTTGTACTAGGCTCCATTCACACTTCAAAATCGTGCGATTTTCATTGTGACTGGACAGCGCGACTTTGGATGAGTGCGACTTTGGCTTTGATCAAGGATGATTGTGTCGTTTTCAAAATTATCGGTCGTTTTTTTTGTTTATAGTGCAAAAAAAAAACAAAACGCAGCGGTGATCAAATACCAATAAAAGAAAGCTCTATTTGTGGGGAAAAAAAGGACATAAATTTAATTTGGGTGCAGCGTCGCATGACCGCGTAATTGTCAGTTAAAGTAAAGCAGCGCTGTATCACCAAAACAATGGCCTGGTCAGGAACGGGGGGGGGGGGGGGGGGGGGGGGGGGAATCCTCTGGAGGGCAGGAGGTTAAAGACTGCTCCCCCACTCCCCATTAAGGATTGGCACCTTTGGGGAGCAGGTACCCAAAATTGACAGGTACCCGCTCCCACTTCCGCTGCGATTGCCTAGGCGATCAGAAGTGGAAGTTGTCCTCCCTCCCTGTAGTCTTCTAGGACACGTGACAGGTCCCAGAAGACTACGGGACCCTACAGAATAAGCAGCTAGACTTGCGCATGTGCAGTGGGCACCTAACTGTGAAGCCGGGTCACAGCCGGGTGCCCACACCGCAGATGCAGGCGCCGGGGGAACATAGGATGGCTGGTGAAACAGGCTACGGAGGGGGGGGGGGGGGGCACACACCATGGGATCGAGGGACAGGAGAGTAGCTGATTTTTAAAAGTCAGCATTTACAGTTTTTGTAGCTGCTGACTTTGATTTATTTTTACAGTTGCTTTGCATTGTTGGGGTAAAAAAGGTTTCCAATAAATACAGTTGACTTTCCCTCGGTTCAGGGGCGGACTGACCATTTGGAAACTCGGGCACAGGGTCAGTAGGGGGCCCCAGGAGATGCCCCTGGTACCTTTTTCATAGGCTTTTTTGAGTTTGGGCAAGGACACAGGGGCCCCATGATCCCCTATTGCCCGGGGGGCCCCATGAGTTGTCAGTCCGCCCCTGGGACTGACCATTTGAAAACTCGGGCACTGACGAGGGCCCAGGGTCAGTAGCAGGCCCCATGAGATGCCCCTGGTACCTTTTTCATGGGCTTTTTTGAGTTTGGGCAAGGACACAGGGGCCCCATGATCCCCTATTGCCCGGGGGGCCCCATGAGTTATCAGTCCACCCCGCACCTAAGCGTTTTCTGCAGCGTTTTGTATTTTGCAGAAACGCACTACAATCTGTAAAGTGGTCACCTGTAACCTGCTTTTACCCTCGGTTCACACCTAAGCGTTTTTCGCAGCGTTTCGCAGAAACACACTACAGTCTGTTTACTATGATTTTTATGGGACACGTTCACATCTCCGCGTTTTCACCCGGTGCGGTTTTTTTTCTTTAACCTCCCTGGCGGTATGATTATGTCAGGAATTTTGTGCTGAAAGCGGTACCATTTTTTTTTGCATGGAAAAAGTTTTTTATTGTAGGCTGTAATTTTTTAGGAATAACTCACTGAAATCTGTCCGAAAAAGAGTCTAGTAAACATCCCGGGGATGATAAAACTTGAAACACGAAATCATAAATTATAATTTAATAAATAATCATAAAAAAATAATAATATAATAATAATAAATTTAATTCAATAATATAATCAAACCAAAAATACTGAAATTTGAAATACAGAGGCAAATTCGCACATCGCTGAGCAAAGTCGCAAAATCGTTTTCAGTGTCTGATGACGAATTTCCCCCACGAATCATTATCACTCAATTCTGCAAGTGGTTCTGATTTACTATCGCTGTTCTAAAAACCGCTTTTGACCTAAAGGGATGCTTTTTGGCCGCCATGGACTTTTCTAAGTTTCCAGGCAGAAAGAACAGTCAAAATGCAGGCAGGGCGCCGGACAAAGCAGTGGGGACAAAATATATGTGAAATGCAGTGAAAAAGCAATGACAGCAAAAATGTCATTTTTTAAAAATTTCAAATTTCCCGCTGGTTCCGCCGCCCCGAACGTTCCGACGTCACAGGGACCGGAACACGGAAGCCAGATGCCGGCATCCGCCGGAGGAGATGGACGGGGACACTGCGTTTTTGGTTCTATAGACTTCAAAGGAAACGCTGCAGAAAAGCATGTCGTTCGTTTTTTTGCCATGTCTGCCTAGCAACAAGAAAAATTAAAATAAGAAACAAAAAAGAAAAAAACGCAAAAAAAAAGCGTCAAAAGCGCAAAACGCAATGTAGAAAATGGGTCAAACGCAACCTGCATAGGTGTGAACCTAGCCTTAGCTCTAATCATTGCTTCCGATGCTTTCTCACTTAATTACAAAATGACAAATAAAAATAAAAAAAAAAAATCCCAGGCCGGTACGCTTTCGGTTCCAGAACGTGGGCAGCGTTTCCTGTTCATGGCGAGCGGAGACACAATGCAGAGCGCAGGAACGCCGCTACAGCAACAAATAGGAAATAATGATATCCATATGCCTAGAACAAGTGGCGTCTGTGTGAGATCCGGTCGGCTGTTATAGTTCTATAAAAATATCTCGTAGCGCGGTGATGGTGAACGCGTTGGAGGACACAAAGGCGCAGCGCTGGGTGAATGATGGGGGTGGTGCGCAGGTTAGGCGGGCATTCGTACCGAGAGAACGCAACAGCTGCTGAACTCCCCGCGGCTTATCATTTATTTATTTGCTTGTTGTGTTAACATGGAGGCCAGGCTTTGCTTCCCATACAAGGAGCCGGTTGTTGATGCGGCATCTCCCGCTCATCCCCTAGGCACTGCGGATGAAGGTGGATTTAAAGGGGCACTACAGTTCCTCTTCAGAGGGTGCGCGGTTTGGATCAGTTTATGAATTTGTCTATGTGTCACTGATTTGGATCCCGTGGGCGGGTGTGGAGGAGCGCAGGGTACAAATGTTCATGTCAGAGGACTTTTTTTGAAATGCGTTTTGGTATTAAAACAATTCTAAAGATTAGTTGTTTTTTTTTTTGGAAAATAACAAAAATGTCTGTACTTACCTGCTGTGTGTAATGGTTTTGCACAGAGCAGCCCAGATCTT